TATTAGGTAAATCCTTTCAAACTGGAAACTCGTTCTTCAGTTCTGAGAAATTTCCTAGCATATATTCCCATTGTCAACGAATGAAAAACCAAATCTCATATGATGTAGGGCTGACTACAGTCCATTTTTGGTTTAGTATTTTCTGGGGTCATCTTTGCTTGTTTTCTTTGAGTTTAATTCTTGCCTTTTCTTTAAAGCACTTTTTAAAACCTTTTATTGTAGGACATTTCAGGCATATATAAAAGAGAGAACAGTATAAAGAGTCTCCTACACCCACACCCAGCTTCATTTGTCATTAATATGTAGTTAATTTTATTTCACCTGTCTTCTGTGACCTCCAGTGTAGATATTACATATTTTATCCATAAATATATGCACCTCAAGAAATAAAGCCTTTAAAAAACCATAATCACAATACTATTAAAATGCCTAGACTATGAACAGTTCTTTAATGTAACATGCAGTTAGTATTCACATTTCTCTATTAGCCTGTAAATACTATTAGCCATAAATACTGTTTTATAATTGATTCTTCAAACAGGATCCAAACAGCGTTTATGCACGGTAGTTGGTGGATATCTTTAATCACTTGTTTGTTGAAAAAACAGAGTAATTTGTCCCATAGAATTCCTCACATTCTGGATTTGGTTGCTTGCATCCTGCAATGTTGTTTAACATTTATTCTATCCCTGTATTTCTTGTAGAGGTATCATCAGACTCAAGTTCAGTTTCAGGGGACAAAACTCTTTTGTAAGTAGTGGGGCATATTCCCTTTTGAATTACATCAAAAGATAGATAATGCCTGGTTATTCACTTGGTGTGACTTTAACATTGATCATATGCAAAGTAACCAGTCTGTAAACAGTACAATTGATTTTGTGTATTAATCTTTTATCGTGTAATCTTGATGAGCTTACTAGGTTTAGCAACTTTTAAAAATATTTCCTCAGAGCTTTCTACATATACAATCATGTTGTCTGTGAAAAAAATTTTTATGTTTCCTTTCCGATCTGTGCCTTTTATTTCTTTTTCTTGTCTTATCAAAGTGGCTAGAATCCCTAGTGAGTGTTGACTAGAAGTGGTAAGCGTAGACATCTTTGCTTGTGTCCCAATCTTGGGAGGAATGTATTCAGTCTTTTACCAGTATGGTGTTAGCAATAGGTTTTTCTCAGATGCCCCTTAGCAGGCTGTGGAAGTTTCCTTCTGTTCCTAGTTTTCTGTGAATCTTTCTCATGAATGAGTGTTTGATTTTGTCAAGTGCTTTTTTCCTGCATTTAATGAGATGATCATTTTGTAAAAGATTGTTAATTTGGTGAGTTGCACTGATTGCAACATTAAACATTAAAGCAGCCTTGCATTCCTGGGCTAACCTACACTTGGTCATGATCTATTACCTTGTTTATATGCTGTGGTTTTGATTTGCTAAAATTCCGTTAATAACTTTTGACTTTGCATTTATGAGGTTTATTGGTCTTTAGTTTTCTTACGATTATTTTTTTCTGGTTTGGTGTTGGGGTCATCCTGGCCTAATGAATGAAGTGGGAACTGTACCTTCCTCTTCAGGGTACTGGAAGAATTTATGTAGAATTGGTATTGCTCTACTGTCTTCTTTCTTACATTGTTCCCAGTGAGAAATCTGATATCATTCTTAATCTTTGTTCCTCTGTACAGTGTCTTTTTTTCTTCTGGTTTTAAGATGTTCTCTTTTTCACTGATTTTGAGTAATTTTACTATGTATGATGCACCTTGTAGTTTACTTCGTGTTTCTTGTGCTTGAAGTTCTCTGAGCTTCTTGAGTCTTTTGATGTAATTTTTGGAAAATTGCAGCCATAATTTTTTCAAAAATGTTTCCATCTCCCCAACCCCACTTGGGGGCCCATTTTCATGTATTTTTGTCCCTTGGGGTTTCATTTTGGGTAATTTCTAAGACTGTGCCTTCATGTATATGGATCGTTCCTCTGTCACGTCTAAATTTCTGTTACTCCCATCTAGGCTATTTTTCCACTCAGACAATTAAAAAAAAAAAAAACTTTAAAGGTTCAATTTGGGTCTTTTTAATATTTTCTATGTTTTTACCTAACAAGCTCATTCTTTTTTTCTTTTTTTTTTTTTAAACCACTTGAACATATGGTATATAGTTACAGTAAATGGCTTTAATTTCTCTCTGATCATCTGTGTCATTTCTGAGTCAGTTTGATTTGATTGTTGTTGCTCTTGTTGTTTTTCCCCCTCGTCGTGGGTCATGGTTTCCTGTTTCTTTACATACCTGTTGGTATTTGATTCAGTGCTGGAAGTATCAGTTTTACCTTGTATTCTGGATATTTCTTATTCCTTTACATATTTTTGAGCTTTGTTCTGGAACACAGTTGTTACTTGGCTATAGTTTGGTACTCTCCAGAAGGATTTGGCATACCCCAGCGTGCAGACCGCCTCTAGTCATGCCTGTCCATTTACACATTGGGTTTGTAGTTCCTTTTGTGCTACAATCACAGCATAGATGTGACAGAGAAACCAGATGGTCTGCCAAGCTCAATATTTATTACCTGATCCTGTACAGAAAAGGTTTGTCGTTCCTTGCTTTCGAAGGTTTATCTTCAAGCTTTTGGGCAGGACTAGAGCATCTGTGGGGTAGGGCTGATTTCTCCCCGCTCCTGAAGCAGTACCCTCCTCAGGACCGCACCTGATGCTTGGGTTTTAGGAGGTTTCTCCCTCGGGCTGCTTGGTAGACACCGACCCCGTGTCCTGTTGGGTATTTGGCGATTATTCCACCTGCTCCTTTCCAGTGGTTCTCTCCCGCGCTCTGGATGCTTCCTTCGCCTGCGTGTGCCGATCAGTACTCAGCTACGGACTCGAGGGTAGTCGTAGCAAACCGTGGAGCTCCCTCTCTCTCCATGTCCTGGTTTCTGGCTGGGATGCTCCACATGTGCATTCACTAGTGCTGTGCCCTGTGAATCCTAGCCGCCCTGGCCTCCACGAACTCCCAGCTCTGCTCATCCATTCCCTGAGCTCTGTTTGGGCTTTCTGTCCTCTGTTGCCAGCTCTGAGCAGGCGGCAAACTGGCAGCTGTCCTCCCCCTCAACCCTTCCCTTCTCTCACCATTCCCCATTTTGGCTGCCAGTTGTCCATTATGTTAAAGCCGCAGTTTCATGTTATTTTGTCTGTTTAAAAGATTTTTAAAAAAATTTTTTTTTTTTTACTGTTTTTATTTATTTTTGAGACAGAGAGAGACAGAGCATGAATGGGGGAGGGTCAGAGAGAGAGAGGGAGACACAGAATCTGAAACAGGCTCCAGGCTCCGAGCTGTCAGCACAGAGCCCGACGCGGGGCTCGAACTCACGGACCGCGAGATCATGACCTGGGCCGAAGTCGGACGCTCAACCGACTGAGCCCCCCAGGCGCCCCCGTTTAAAAGATTTTTTGAGAGCCAAGGTGGTCAGTCTGGTTTCCGTTACTCTATCATGGCTGCACGCGAAAGTCTTCAATACTCCACATTTAACAATGAAAGAAAATAGTAGTGAATTCAGTGTTGCTCTTGCTGGAGAATGTACTGATTCTTTCTACGGCATTTCATGTCCCTTTCCTCTACCGACAGTCTTACTTTGAATTACTATAAAAGTTTCCTCTAATATCGCTTTCCCTTTTCTTTCCAGTCATAGATAAAGCTGTCAAAAGCACAGTTATCATGGAAATAGAAACATTTAAATTACTGGCACGATAAGCCTATTTCTTGCTGTAGCCATTCAGAGCATCGATTTGTCACTGCCGTGGGTGCTTTGAAGTGAAACTGTGCTTAGATATAAAAAGTTTTAAAACCCACTTTGATTCTGTGTGAAGTTCACAGTTTTTCCAGTGCAGTCCCGGAGTTCAGTTCAGTTGAAACCGTATGGCTCCGCTCCAACGATAAGAACCCTTTAGTGGACTATACGACATGCTTAGATTCAGACATTTCTGACCCGCCATAGGCCTCAATAGCGTTATTTGGTTTTCTTTTGTGTCCCTACTCTGATTTCTTAGCTGCTAGTGGCTATCCAACAGCAGTGTTTAAAACATACAGTGATTGTTTTCTCTCTTTAATTATCTCTAATAAAATGAAAGAAAAAAATCAAAGCAGTGACTTTGAAATCAGATAGGAGGATGATTTGAAGGAGACCAAATGGGCTATTGGTACAGTTTTTTAAGGCTCTGGGTATTGTCTTGCTATTTTGGGGATGAGCTTTTGCAGAGCTGCTTCCATCAGTACTGCTAAGAATAGAGGAACTTTGTGGGAACATTTTTTTCTTTTAGGAGGTAATTTTTCCCGCTAACTATGCCATAAAAAATTGAAGAACGATCTTAATTTCTCATTTTAAAATGACTGTCATACCAAGCCAGACTACTTAACACTTCAGCGTTGGAACACATGGATTTGTCAATAAATTTAAGCGTAATAGTAGTCTCCATTACTACTATGTTGTTTGAGTAATATATGATATTCACATTTTAAGTGGATATTGATCTTCATTCAGTGACTGAATTGGAGCATCTCAATTCTTACAAAACTGCTGATTCTTTTCTACTTTGTGGGTATGCAGCCAGACATAAATTCTAGCCAGCATTCCACAGATATTTCTTTCCTTTGCCTCTTTACACAGTACTCTTCAGGAAGTAATAATACTTTTTGCGGGGGCCCTGGGTGGCTCAGATGGTTGAGCGTCTGACTTTGGCTCAGGTCATGATCTCACGGTTTGTGAGTTCGAGCCCCACGTCAGGCTTTGTGCTGACAGTGCAGAGCCTGCTTGGGATTCTCTCTCTCTCTCTCTCTCTCTCTCTCTCTCTCTCTCCCTCCCTCCCTCCCTCCCTGCCCTTCCCCTGCTCTCTCTCTCTCTCTCTCAGAAATAAATACACATTTAAAAAATTAAAAAAAAAATAATACTTTTTGCATACTAAAAATAGCAAAGAGAAACTGTCTTTAAAACAGCAGACTTCCAACGTATCGCTTTGTGTTTTGTTATGTCCTGAAGGTACTTGAAGTTTATTGAGTTGCCCTTGGCTGAGAGGAGGTTTTGTCAAAGATGCCAGCAGTTGCTGTTGCCAGACGACTGGGAGAAGCACCGCGAGCACTGGGTGGTGGGCAACATCTCTGCCGGCCAGCTCGGCAGGCCCAGCCAGCTTCTCCGTCCGCTGGAGAACAAGAAGACAAACGCCCAGTACTTGTTTGCCGAGCGTACCTGCCACTTCCTGGTAGACCTGCTTCCTGCCCTTGGGCTCACGAGAGTACTGTGCGTTGGCACACCAAGGTAGGTCACGCGATCTTATTTACTTATTTTTTGATTTACATCCAAGTTAGCTAGCATCTAGTGCAACAGTGATTTCAGGAGTAGATTCCTTAATGCCCCTGACCCATGTAGCCCCTCCCCACTCCCAATGAT